TCAAGTCAACTCATAAGGCTACAAATATGTATTTGTGATGAGCTATGATTCTTTTGAACTAATTTGATCTTTCTTCTACTTCTATATAATTTCCTCGAGTTTGAAAAAAATATTTCGCTTTTTTTTTATCATTCTCTCCTTTCATTTTATTAACATACTCATTTCTATCAGAGCTGCCAACAGGCCACTTTTTTTCGACTTGGCCTGGCCTGGTTGCCTGGCCATAAGCTTTTTGGACAGTAGCAGGCCAGGCCAAAAAATAACTACTTAGCCTGTAGTCTGGCCTGGCCTGCAGGCTGTTGAGAGAAAAGAACAAACTTATTGAATATTTTTACTCGATTTGTACATACAATTGCACAATATTTGTCGGACACTTTCCTTATTTCCTCACGTTAATCACGATAATATGTTTAGTTCTTCTCAATTCAAATTATGACGGTACAAAATTTTTCCACACAATGGAAAGTCAAAAGATATAGAACTGAGCGATAAATAGTCTATTCTATACAAAACACTAGGCTTTCAATTTAGTTGTAATTCCATCAGCTTTGTTCCATGACATTAAAAGTGATTATCTTCAGAAAGAAAATCGTACAAATCGAAAATCTGCAAAACACTACTAATGTTGGTCAGAAAATCTTGCTTCTTATCTTCGTCTAGTGAATGATATTGAGTTGAATTGGATTATTAGTCAGCTTCATTTCTGTTGTGTATTCATTCTTCTTGCACATTGAGACACATTCTAGCTCAATCATAAGCCCATGTAAAAGCACAAAGAAAAAAAAATTAGTTCAAAAGAATCATCGCTCATCACAAATACATATTTGTAGCCTTATGAGTTGACTTAAAGTCTGGAAGTTGCGTACTACTTTCAATCTTCGCAGCTAATGTTAAACTAGAATATATGAGAAATATTGATATGATTAATATGCACTACTGTCATTCATCACAAGAAACAGTAGGGTGGTACATTCATAGTTCTTTTCTCGACAAGGCTCATATAAAATAGTAGAAATGAAGGCATGCAAAAAGTATATATCTTAAAATAAAAGTATGTCATTTTAGTATTCATAATCAAAGTAAGAGTAAAACTTTAAATTCAATATATTTACTCAATTATGTTAAACCTACAATATCACTCAAAATAAGAATCAATCAATATAAAAAAATAAGTAGTTATCATTCAGGCTACAAGCTTCGGCCTGGTGGCCCGGTCATAAATTTTTTGGACAGGAGCAGCCCAGGCTAAAATCTGAAAACTCGACCTGACTTGATAGCCTGGTCTGCCAGACGCCTGCAGACCAGGCTGGCAGCTCTGATTTGTATTGTATTAGCATCATCTTGACAATGCGAATTATTTGCTCTTCGGTTTAAATTAGAGGCATTTCAAGGAAAAACACATTTATTTATGACTTTCTTTATATCCCTTATTGTTTATTGACTTAAAATAATTTTCAGGATCATAAATCAGTTCGCCTTCTCGTTAGAAAGATAGCATGGGTGCCGCAAAAAACTCAAATTTTTCCACTGAGACTAGATTAAAGCACGGGCAAATCTGTGATATTTGAAATAGGGAAAACAATAATTAGAAATGAGTTCTATGAGAACTGACTATCGTGCTTTTTTTCATTGGCTCTGATTAGGAGAATTGTTTACCATTTTCATTGTAAATGAACCAAAATGAATGCTGATTAAATAAATGATATTTCCTGTTATTAAGAAAAGAATGTTTTATATTATTCCTTAAAAATAAAGTTATTGTTTTTTATTAGGAGGTCAAAACTAAACGACACATCACCACCAATATACGAAAACATCTTGGATTAGTTCATAAACGTACTGAATTTCTTTATTCATCTCAACGAAAAAACTATTTACCAAAATCAAATTCTATTTCAATTGAAAGAAAAAAAGAATTACATTCAGCAATTATATCATGTATAATAAAAGATTCACGTTGTTTCAATGATTTTAGGAAAAGCGGAATGAGAGCATTTCTTGCTGTAGCCATTCCAGGTTATGTTCCACCGCATAGAGTTACAGTGAAAGCTCATCTTGCTAAACGTTATGCACAGCATCGTAGTTCATTACGTTCTGTTCTTGCTAATATACCTGCTATCGCTCTAACCTCGGATGTGTGGAAGAACAGCAGTGGAACTCACTTTATTAGTTTAACAGCTCATTTTCGTGATACTAATTTTAATCTTATATCTCTTACAATCGGCTTTCGACAATTAGTTGGTAGTCATATTGCCGAACGTCTTCGAAAATATATATTATATGAAATTACATCATTAAATATTCAAAACAAAATCTGTTCAATTACCACGGATAATGCTACAAACATTGTCGCTGCAACTTCAAATTTTGATCATTTCGGCATGAGAATATCATGTTTGGCACATGTGTTGAATCTTATTATTCAAGATGGACTTAATTTATCGGACGAAAAGTAAGAAGTTTTCAATTGCTTATAAAGTTAACTGAAAAGCCGATCGTATAAAAATTCAGTCGAGAAAATTCAGCTATATGCTGTTTCAGCTGATGATTTTAACAGCGTAATTGCATGAGTAGAAGAAACTAGACAGAGTAGTATTGTTTTTCACGACGGAAAAAAGATTTTCATCCGATAATTCCTAGTCTTCTCAGGAATTGAACATTAAATATTCTCTTTTTTATTTTATTTTGAAAGTATTTTTTTAATTTGATGAAATTGATAACGTTTCTAGAACGATGTAAGAGAACAGTTGCGCTTTAATGAAGAGAAATTTTTGCAGGTATTATGGTATCTGTAGAGAGAGGTAAAGACAATAATGATTTATATGTATCAGTACACTTTTATATCACTATAATCATATACTTAGATCAATCTTACTTTAGACTTTGACTATTGAAAAAGTAAAAATTTACCACTCGACGACGGATCAGACTTTCTTGCAAACATTATATCAATAATTTGCAAACGACTGCACCTCTGAATTGATGAGGATCGAGCCGATTGAATTCGAAAAAAATAGAGAGATACAATCGATTACTAGTATTAAGGTTTCAATTTCAATCCAATGCCTGTTGAATTTTTTAAATCTATTCGAAGGGTTCTCTCTGTTATCAGTGCTCATTTAGAGAAATGTACTCTTTCTTAAGATATCGTTCATTAAAATACTTGACCAAAAAACGATAAAAATGTGATAAAAAGTTCATTATGAAAATAGACGATATAGTACGTAATAAACAACAATAGAATATAAAGAGAAAAGTGAAAAATATTCGATTGATGTAGCATTATATTTTTTTTCTTCTATATAGCATGGAAAAATCTTCGAATGATCAATCATCATCATCCAAGAACAAAAAAAATTCTATTGATGCAATTAATGGTGATGAAGATATTGAATATCGAAGTTCAGATGATGATACAGGTGAAAATGAAAATAATGATGAAGATAAACGTGAAGATGAAAGTGAAGAAGTAGAAAGTTCAAGTGATACTGATTTAGGTGTTGATGAAATAAGTCTTAATGAAAGTTCCAGTGATGAAGATGAAACTGATCTTGACAATAATACACCATCTGCTGGTAATACATTAATGAATGTACATTATTTAGTTAGTCGTGTTCGACAATTTGCTCGAATTACTCGTCGAACACATGTTTTACGTGATTACTTTCAACAAGAAGCTAAACGTAAAAAATTATCTAGTAGTGGTCTTATATTAGACTGTATTATAAGATGGAATTCATCTTATTACATGTTAGATCGATTTATTACTTATCAAGATACGATTAATCAAATTACTGTTAATCCAAAGCGAGTTTTACCATTTATGGGTGCCAGTATGATTCATAAGCTTAGTTCTTTCATCTTCAGCCATGATGATTGGGAACATCTTATTGTTACAAAAGATGTTTTATCTATCTTCGAACAAGCTTGCTGTCTTATTTCTGGTAAAAAATATCAAACCATTTCTATCGGTTATGTGGTTCTTGTTGGTCTTCAACATCATTTATCTCGATACACAGCAACTGGTGTACAACGTAAAATTGAAATGATTATTAAAAAAAGTTTACTTGATGCATATCATTATCACGTGAATGATAAAGTGTCTTCGGTTCAGAAGTATGCCATGATGGTGAGTGATTTTTTCTACGTCTTAGGTTATTTTTAAGAAGTCAAGACACTGAGGTAGAAAATCTGTAATGTTCTTTCATGTTTGGAGAGACCATTACAGCTTCTTTATAGTTCATAAAATAAAAATTTCTTCTTTAGCTAATGTCTATTTTGTTCAAACAAAAATTTTAAAAAAGTTAGATATCTGATAGCATATTAAAGAACTCGTTTCGAGAGAATTAAGTTATATAAAAATCGAATTCTTAGTAACAATAAAATAGTTCATAATGATTTTTGATTTACCGTCTTATTTGTGAACTTCTATTTTTAATTAACAATTATATATTTACAAAGAAGCTTTTGAAGAACTGTTTGTAAACTCAGGAAATTCTGGAGAATAGTGATTCAATAGACTAATATAAAAAAAAGATAATAACTCATATCTGAGTTGGATTTTGGAATATTATCTTTAGAATAACTCTGATTATCGGACAAACAAAACGACTGAAATGACAATAATGGGCATAATTTTTATTGTTATCAAAGTCCTAAAACGAAAGAAATTAAGTGTATATCTTCGTCCAGGAAAAAATTGCATTGATTTCGTAATTTTGCTTAAATATATATTGTAGAAATGAAATTCAAAAACACAAAGTTTATCATATTTATTTTTCCACTACTGAAAAATTATTGTACTGAAAATGTTGAAATCTTCTCTATGTTTGATTTTTAGAAACTAGCGAAAGACATAGTTTAATCTGAACATACAACTCAACGAGTTTAAAATAATGTTTTCTTATATTTGCCAATAAATTTCTTTTTATTCATGCTTTTCAGATTGCTTGCTTTTTGGATCCTCAAACATATCGATTAATGAGTGATAATGATAAAGATGTAGCTCAAACATATATTGTTAATGAAGCATCTAATCGTAATTTATCTCAACAAACTGTTACACATACAACTGTTTCATCTAATACAAATAGTTTTACTTCATCAACAACATGTTCAAGCAACATCAATAATCAATTAAACAGTTTCTTAATAGGATGTGGACTTGATCCACCACCACTTAGTTCCACCAACATTCGTTCAAATCGAACAATCAAAGAAGAACTTGCATATTACATTGATAAAGTTAAAAAATTTACAACATTTGAAGAATTCTGGAGAACTCATCAAATGGAGCTTCCATATCTTTCAGTACTTGTTCGTTCATTTAGTATTCGACCAGTAACCTCCGTTCCAAGTGAAAGCTTATTCAGTGTTGCTGCTTATGTAAACCGAAAACAACGTTCGTCTATGTCTCCAAATGCTCTTCGATATTCAATGGTACTTCGTGATGCAGATATACTGGCGACTTTATTATGAATATCCGTTTTTACTTAGATTTTTTTCTGCTATGGATTTTCTCATTTGATGTAATATGTACTTGAATACAACTGTTGTTATTTTTCCTTCCATTGTTCTTATATTTAGAAAAACATTTTTTTGTCGTTTATTCATTAGAAAATGAACTTGTTATTACATACTCATTAGCCTACTCATGAAATAAAAATCGTTTGACTTTACTATTAGACAATTAGATAAAGAATTTGTTTATAATTACAAAATGCTTGTTCTTTTCGGCTGTGAGACAATTTGTGATTTATTTCTGCTACTGAGAATTTTATTCGATCAAAAAGAAAAAATACTATGAGATTAGCTGACAGAAATAAAATTGTTTTTAATACGTTAATTGAATTAAGTGTATAGACGGAAATCAGAAGGCGAAAGATAATCAATTCGAGATTTGTGCGAGTAGATAACTTATTTACATGATGAATAATCGTGAAATATAGTGATTAAATAGTATCGAGAGAGTAGAGAGATTTTGATCTATAATTGATGCTGATATAAATTGGTACTGAAATTAATAGTGCAGATTTGCTGTACTTTTTATTGCCACCTATGAAGTTGCAGAAATATTTTTATCTGGCTCCCATTGCAAGTTTTTAAACCAATAGGAATCCTTAGAGGATCAAGTTTGTCCAAAATATACGATTTTCTATAACAAGTGGCAAAAATATAGGATTTATTATAGATCGTTTCTGGGCAATTGTCTGCTTTCGTTAACTTCTCTGTTTGAAACTTCTTCTAATATAGTTAGCATAAATAGCTCGACCGTAGTCAGGATTCTTTTCTAATTTCTTTCTAGTGAAATGGACAGTTAATTTGAAAATCATTATAATGTGTAATTATAAAACTTCTTCCACCAATCACTAAATAGCAAAAAAAGTTCATCATAAAATTTGAAAAAATAAAAAAATGAAAGAAAAAACAGATACTATTTTCCATAATTAAATTTGACTTATAAAAATAAAGCTCGATTACAGGTACTCCAAAAAGTATCCGAACACATGTATGTCTTTTTTGTATTTCTTGGTCTGAGAAACAGAAACAAGAAATTAAGCTTTTCTTTTTTCACAAGTAGATAGTCTTTACTTCGAACTGGGTTCTCTATAAAAATCAGCAATTTGATCTATCATCTCGAAATACGAGAATGTATCATCATTCATGTTACACATAATCGGATTGGATACATCAGTCAGAATGGAATCCAATCGAACCGGCACCCAATCGCCGATTGGGTCCTAGTCGGACTGTACTGGTGCATACCTAAATGTAGTTATTCAAAAAAGGCCACGAAAGATTTATGGTGGAAGCATCAATTATGTTTAGTGAATGGTCTGTCTTCAATTCGATACAAACCACTTACCACTTACTAGTAAGTGGTAAGTGGTACTACTTACCACTTACCAGCAAGTGGTAAGTGGTACTACTTACCACTTACCAGCAAGTGGTAAGTGGTTACCACTTACCACTTACCGGTAAGTGGTAAGTGGTGAAGATCATTTTGCAAGAATAAATAATCAATAATTAAAACAATCATTTATTAGTGCTATACCGATAATTTTTCGGTGATTAAAACACTTACCACTTACCTGGTAAGTGGAAGTGGTGGTAAGTGGTAAGTGTGACACCCCTGGTACAAGGTATACGAAATGCTCGATGTTTAATTAGATCGAAAAATTTATTGGATATTCTTAAACTTGATTGTCCAGAAATAGATGCATTAAAACCTGATGCTTGTTTTCAATGTAAAGGTGGTGATTTTATTATTAAACAAGGTGTGAAGCTTAATTTAGACAACTTATTCGATGCTTTAAAAGAAAAAGATGAAAAATATCGAAAGAAAAATCATCAACAACAACGACAACAAAAATTATCGAATACAGTTTTATCATCATCAACACCAATAACTGATGCTGATAATAGCAACAATTCGACTACACAAACTTTTGAAACGGAAACAACAACGACTAGTTCATCAACTTCATCATTCGGTGATGCAAATACAACAAATTCAAGTTCATTTGTTTCAAAATTTTCATCAATTAATGATCATATCAAGTTTATTAATGATCTTATAGAGAAATTTTCTCGAAAAACATTTACTTCGATGGTGTTGAAAGAAAATGAACATTATCAATTGACTGTTACAGAAGATGATCAAACGATCAAAGCTGTAATTAAATGTCAATGTGGATCAAAATTGATGTTACCAATACGTTCGGATCCATATAGATTTATTTTATCAAATTTTTACGCTCACTTAACAACATCAACATGTCCTATGACTCATCGAATTTTGAAAGAAGAAAAAAAATCACGAAATAAAGAGTTAGAAGGTCAATCAATTGTAAAACCAGTAGCACAACCATGGACAATTGTTTCCAATGATAATAATTCTGATTTAGCCAAGCAAGCCAAAAGAAAACATGATCATAATAATTCACTTACGACAAAGTCGAGCACCAAAACAACCAAAAAACAAAAAAAACAGTTCAAATAACACTTTACATGCATCATAAAAGTTTTTAGCATAATCGTTTTTTTATAAAATTGTAGTGATGTGATTTTTGAATATGTCATGGACCTGTTCACATATCACGCGTCTTCGTTCTATAAGTATGTCCACCACTCTCCCTTTTTCTTTCCTTCTCCACTGCGTTGTGATGAAAAAGAAAGAAAAGGAATAAATAACGTTATGAAGAAAATTTCTAAACATTCACCACTTTTGAAGCGTAGAGATCGTTGTAAAAAGAATCAATGGAAACATTTGATTTATATAATTTACAAGATGATGTTTTATTTAAGTCAAATGACAAATTTTATGATTTTGTACAAAGTGTATGTGGTAAAGTTGAAGCTGACATATTACGGGTACAAGGTAGGGCTGTCATATTCCACTTACTATTACTAGTAAGTGGTAAGTGTTAACACTTATCACTTACTGGTAAGTGGTAAGTGGTACCACTTACCACTTATTGGTAAGTAGTAAGTGGTACCACTTACCACTTGGTGGTA